TTTAAAGATACTATATTAAATAATTACTATAAAATTAATTTATCTATAAATACATATATTTAAATTCATAGATATATTTAATACTTCATTAGTAAAATTTAATATTGGAATATTCTGTAAATAAAAAGAAAAAAATATTCTTCTTTTATTGCTTTTTTTTTATTTGTTTTAACTTTAAATGCGGATCGAAAATGGTCCGGATATACTTTCGAGGTCACGACAATATGGTAGCAAATATTTTAGCATTTACATCTGAGTCTTTTTATACAGACAGTTATCGGTCCGGATATACTTTCGAGGTCACGACAATATGGCAACAAATATTTTAGGATTTATATCTTAGTCCTTTTTATACGGGCCGTTATCGGGCCGTATATACTTTCGAGGTCGCGACAATATGGCAACAAATATTTTAGGATTTACATCTGAGTCCCTTTTATATGGACCGTGATCGGTCTGTATATACTTTCATTGTCACGACAGTATGGCAGCAGATATTTCACAATTTACACTTAAGTCCAATATATTCAGATCGTAATTGGTCTGAATATAGTTCTCATTGCCAAGCAAATTTTTCACTGTTACAAAAGGTGTGTATGTATTCAGGCCGATATTTTCTACAATTATTAAATTATTTATTATATTCTTTATATCCGGACTATTAACGATCCGTAAATTTCAATTTTATATTCGCCCCTTGAATTTTTTTACCAAATTATAAGGTCCGGTTTCAGTGTGAATAGTTCAATTAACTTACCGATTTTTTGTCAGTCTGTATATTTTATTTTTTCATACTAGGTTTTTTCAGTTCAACTATATGAACCGATATCGATCTGGATATGTTTATCCAGACCGAATTTTTTGTTATACGGACCAAATTTTTGGTCTGAATATTTATTATCTGCAGTAGTGAAAAGAGTTAAGATCCAGTTATATATAAGTTTTATATACTACATTTATATAAAATTTTAACCATTTATCTCTTCACTTTTAATGGTTGAATGAATCCTTTGCCTTATTAAACCCCTATTGAATGGAAAATGAATTGTTGTTTTCATGATTTTTATATTTTTTATAAGATGACCCATTCTTTATAGTTCTACTTTCAATAATCTTGTTTATGTTGGCATTACCATCCTGCTCATAATATTTCATGCTTGAAAATTGTGGCCATTACCTATGAGCCATCTTAAAGAAGTTAAGGATGTTATTGATATCTACTTAAGTACTATCAGTGTTAAGAAGGATCCTATAGTATGATGTTTGAACTTTTGTTTATTGATCTTTAATTGAGTGCTTTGTTTTTGTTTTCCCAATATTTAGAGGTCTTCCTACCCTTTTCTTTCTTTTTTGATTTAACGAAGATGCTCTCTACAATGAAATATAAAATCTGGGAATGTTTTAGGTAGAAATTATAGGTAAATTGGACATTGATTGAGGAAGTGATAATTGAGAAAAGGGCTGATAGTATTCTCTCCTCATTTTTGTTTGAAATTTTTTTAATCCAATTGACAAATGAGATTGATCTCTTTGGCTACTGAAATGTTTCATGTAAATTATGTTTAAAAATTTAGGCTTCTTCCACTATCTTTTGTGGAATTGCATGGACTATATATTCATAGACTTAGAGATTAAAGTACTTGATAGTTTACCTTTCATATTTTTCTATTTAACTGGTTTCACAATCTAAATATTCCTTGTGCTAGAGGTTCAACAAAATAATTGGTTTAAGTAAAAATGCAGGCTCTCCTTCACATTTCTCTAACCAAAACCTTCTGGTTATTGATTCTCATGCTTACTTGGACTCAAGTGATGTCTGCTTTTAGCTCTTGTAATATATATTAATTATTGGCACTCCAATTCTAGATTGTTGGTGAAGGATGTTAGGTTCTCTTTGTATTTTGATGATGATTTAAAACCATGATTCAAAAGAGTTTAATCTATTTTTGTGCTAAGTGTGTAGGAAAGTTAATTCAAGTATTCTAATCTTTCCCCACGATTAGAATTGATTCATGTCCTCCTTGTTCAGAGTTATGGGTTCGAATCAATTATATTTGGTTCGAACCAATCCCGAAGTTCTTTTCCGAAAATGTTTCAAACCAATATTTCTGGCTTCGAAGTAAAAATTTTGGAAGGTTAAATTTTGACAGCTCAATTATCCGTTCATTCTTAATGGGTCATAGGGGATCCAAATGTCTGAGCTCTTTCCAAGACAAGTCAGAAGAAAAAGGTGGAATCTAATTGGGGCAATTGTGAGGTGGCTTTGAAGGGCTAAATGGGATTTAATTGCAAGGCTCCCAACCAACTATTAAAAGGACATCAAAAATCAAGTTTGTATGAACGATAGAAGAACGAACTACTCCAGTGATACAGAAAAACAGAGTTTGTTTTTGAAATTGTTTTGGATCTTCTTCTTCTTCTTCTTGTGAGCTTTTGGGTTAATTGTCTTACAAGGGTTTTGTATTCCTCTTGGATTGGGATAATCCTTGAAGGGGTTGAGTGAGTTGAGATTCACTTGTGAAGGTTTAATCTTGCAACCGCAAGCAAGTGTTTGTTCCGGTTTAATCTTGCACCGGTAGGCAAGAGATTTCTAGTGGATTGAACTCTCGAGCAAAGAGACTTGGGGAGTGGACGTACTTTGAGTTGGAGGAACCACTATAAATCACGGCTTGATATTCTCTTCTTTCTCTTTTATTTTTCTGCACTATATTACTCTTTGTTTATTCTACACAACAGCTTATAAATTACAAACTTTATTTAAGTTTTTAGAGAAAAAGAAACAAGTTTTTAAGTTCAAATTGATAAGACCCAATTCACCCCCCTCTTGGGTAGCTAGCTGGGATTACAAAGGACATCTAGAGATGCATTTACATAATTTACACTTAGAATTTTCTGCTCTAATTTGCTAAATGTCTTAAAACTTCTCGAAGCTGAAAGAAAAGCTATCATCTCTTAAGTCTTGACAAAAAATATGTCTGATATTTGTGAAAATTGTACATATAGACTTTTAAATCTCAATAAAAACTATGTTTGACTTTTGTGAAAATTGTACATGTGAATTTTAACATAAGACTTGTACATGTGGATTTTAATATAAGGCTTGTATATCCAAGTTAAAACAAATTAGTGATGGGTGAAATAGTCATGAAGGGTGGAATAGTCCCCTCAAGCTTTTGTCATGTGACTTAACAACTTTGGGTTCTATTAAATAGGCTAACAAGTGGCTTAGGAAAAGAGTTTAAGCTCTGATATTGTAATATCCCAAAATTTTGTGATATTTTAGCGTTAAGTTAAGGACTATATTGTCGAAAAATATTGTTTTGGGGCTTATTAGCTAAAAACTCCAAAGTTGAGGGACTTAAAAGAAAAGAAAATGAGATAAGGATCAACTGCTTTTTCTTTTTCTTTGTTTTCTTTCTTTCTTTTCTTCCTCATCAGCCGCGTGTTTCTGCTTATCTTCTTCTTCCTCGACAAGCCCCCCCCAAGCTGCCGATAGTTCCCCTTGAGAAACTCGGCAAAAGCTTGAAATTTCCCCTTCTTTCTTGTTCAATCACAAGATTTGGGGCTTAGAATTCTCTCTCTCAACCCAGAAAAAATCCCAGATCTGCTCTGCTTTTCCTCCCCTGTCCGTCAGTTTCTGCTAGGTGTGAATCCTTCGGCTTTTTTTAGTAAGCCACAGCTAAGAAATCATCTCCTTAGCCTTGATTTAACTTGGGTTACTCTAATTTTTGGTTGTGGTTCTTGAATTTTGGGTAGTTTCCATGAGTTTCCCTGCAGATCCCGTCGGCTCTCCATCTGCCAGCTCCAGTTGTGCTTGCCAGAATTTTTTGGTATGAGACAGCTTTTAAAGCTGAATTTTAAACCATTTAATTGTTGCCTGTGCTGTTGAATTTTCTGCTGGAAATAGGGGAGAAATTTGACAGTAATTAGACCATGATTTAGCTTAATTCATGTAGAAAATTAGCTTATTTTGGCTGCTGTGATTTTTGG